GGTCGCCAAGGGCAGCGTGCCGTGGGCGACCCACACCTGTGGCTTTTCAACCCATTTTGGCCATGCTCCCCTTGCCAGCAGCAGCTCGGGGCTGGCAGATGCCTCCCTTATCGCAGTCTAATTTTGCAGCCTGTTCTCAGGAGCCCTCCAGAAGCGCCTGGTGCTCTCGATGGGCCCTGCGTGGAGCTGGTGCAGGGTGCCCGGTGCTGCCCGTACGGGCACAGCTTGAACAGACCGCGGTGTCGCGCCGGGGGGGTTACTTGCACCACAGCTGCTTTCCCAAAGAGCTGTAATTTTTGTGCCGTTGGCTGCAGCGAGCGGCACCGCATGGCTCCGGAGGCAGAGGAAGCACCAGGGCAGCTCGGGGTAGTGGCTGGGGGCAGCATCCCTGTCTTGGGGCCGTGACATGCCGGATGGTGCATCCGTCCCCGGGCATCGTGCTGCCCCGGCCACCGGCTGCTGGGAGCAGCGCTGCAAGGAGGGGAACGGGATGTGTTTTCTGAGCGTAAAACGCCCTTTCTGCCCTGGGATGGCAGCAGCATCCCAGCACCAGGGAGGGGGCACAGGACATCCTGCAGGGTCCTTCACTCTCCTCGTGTGTTTTGTGGTCTCTGCAGAAGATCAGCCGCAGCCCCTCGGACGAGGAATGCTTCTTTGACCTGCTCAGCAAGTTCCAGAGCAACCGCATGGACGACCAGCGCTGCCCGCTGGAGGAGAGCGCGGCCGAGGCCGCCGCCACCCCCGTGCCGGCCCTCGAGGAGCGGATCAGTAAGTGCCCAGGTGGCCCTGGCTCGGGGGCACCGCTGCGAGCGGGGTCGCGTTCTGCCCGAGCCCAACGCGGGCATCTCGGTGGATGTGCAGGGCAGGTGATGGGCTTGGGCTGTTGGTTGCTGCAGGTGAACTGAGGCTTGTGGCAGAAGCGTGAACCGAGCGTGGATTTTTTTTGTGCCTCTTTGGGACATCTCTGCAAGTGCTGTGTAACTTGCACTAGTGTAGAGAGAAGCCAGGAGGGCAGGTGAGCACGAGGAAGACGAAGGAGAAGCAGGGACAAAGCACAGAAAGCAGCTCAGGGCTGCGTTTGCACTTCCATTTCTTATCTTTTTTCTTAATGAAACCGTGTTGAGCTCTTCTGTTTACACCTAGCTGGAAGCAGCACTAGGACACGCAGGTCTCACTCAGGTGCTTAAGCACCATCCAGCAGGGCTCAAAACATTTCACTTAAGCTGGTCAAGTTGCTTAGCAGTTTCCAAAACAGCAGAAAGTGGTGGCAAAAGCGAGGTCCCCAGCACCGCTGCCATTGCCAGGGCTGGAGCAGACCTGCACGCTGGCTGCAAACGGAGCTGCCTTCCTGCCCTAAAATAGGGTGGAAACAGCCTCGTTTTTTTAAAGATGTGCCTTTCGGGTGCAGAAGCGTGTTTGGCTTCACCTGCTGTGTAATTTAGAGGACTATTTTTGCAACACCAACCTTCCCCAAGGAGGCGCAGGGGGGCCGAGTTCTGCTTCACTGCTGTCCGGCTTCAGCGGCGTCACTGCGAGAGCAGCCGAGTGCCTCGAGGGGAGGGCTCCGGATCTTGCTGCGTTCCCACATGGAATTGTTTTGCCTATCCATGCTAGGACAGCAGGTGGAGGGGCTATTCCCCCTGAGGATTTATGGGGATAATATATGCATACAATGTGTGTGTGTGTGTAGGTGCAGGGCTGGATCCCCCCGCGCAGCCCGGGCTGGACGTGCTCCGTGGAGCTGAGAAGAAGCAGGCGCAGGCCTGTTTGGCTAACGAGTGTTTTGCTAACGAGTGTTTTGCTATCGCGTGCTTGTGACGCACGGCCTGCAGCTCGTAAAGGCCACACCGAGACGCTGGAGGGGAGCTGGGGCCAGTTTCTGGGGGCAAGCCTGCCAGAGGTGCCAGTGCTGGCTGGGCCTGGCAGCGAGCCTGCATCGGGAACGTGGAAAGCGGCAGGTTTATGTGTGGGGTTTCTGCTCCTTACCCGATTAAGGCACTTGTTACTTCCTCGCTTTGCTGCCCGGTGGGTTTGTGGGTACATCAAAGGCTCACGAGGCAGGATGGTATCAGCACACACTGGTGTTTTGACAGCCCAGCCCTGTAAAATTGGATGTGTTCAATCAAAGGGAGGCCCAGGAAAGGTGCTGGCGCCAGTGGGAGGGGAACGAACAGCTCGAACCCAAGTGTTTCTGCTTCCCCCTTGCAAGGAGAGCGGCTGTACCCGGCCATGGGGTGGTGCAGGGCCTGGGCACAGTGAGGACAAGCAGGGCTGCGACCGCCGTGACCGGCTCTGTCCTCTCCCTGCTCGCAGCGCAGCCCTCGCTCGTGGCGTCCCCGCAGACCGAGGAGTTCTTTGATCTCATCGCCAGCTCGCAGAGCCGGCGGCTGGACGACCAGCGCGCCAGCGTGGGCAACCTGCCGGGCCTGCGCATCACGCACAACAACCTGGGGCACCTGCGCGTGGAGGGGGACGCCCAGGAGCCGGGCGATGAGTTCTTCAACATGCTCATGAAGTGCCAGGTACCCGCGGGGCGGGGTGGGGGGCGGGATTCTAGGAAAATT